TGGGACACTCTTGTAGGGCACTCTTGTGGGACACTCTTGTGGGACACGGTTGCGGGACACTCTTGTGGGACACTCTTGTGAGACACTCTTACGGGACACTCTTGTACGACACTCTTGTGGGACACTCTTGTAGGACACTCTTGTGGGACACTCTTACGGGACACTCTTGTTGCACACTCTTGTAGGACACTCTTGTGGGTCACTCTTATGGGACACTCTTGTCGGACACTCTTGTGGGACACACTTGTGGGACACTTTTGTGGGACACTCTTGTGGGACACTCATACGGGACACTCTTGTGGGACACTCTTGTAGGACACTCTTGTGGGACATGCGGGACACTCTTGTGGGACACTCATACGGGACACTCTTGTGGGACACTCTTGTGGGACACTCTTGTAGGAGACTCTTGTGGGACACTCTTGTGGGACACTCTTGTGGGACACTCTTGTAGGAAACTCTTGTGGGATACTCTTGTAGGACACTCTTGTGGGACACTCTTGTAGGTCACTCTTGTGGGACACTCCTGTAGGGCACACTCTTCGTACGAGACTTCCTCCCAAAGTCACGCTGCGAGGCTGCAAGACGAGCGTTTCGTACGAGACTTCCTCCAAAAGTCTCCAGGCTTCCTCCAAAAGTCACGCGTCAAGTCTCCAAAACGAGCGTTTCGTGCGAGACTTCCTCAAAAACTCACATGTCAAAGTCTGCCAAACGAGGATTTCGTACGAGACTTCCTCCAAAAGTCCAGCGGCAGCACCCATCAGAGCACACATCATGCAACCCTGCCAAGCAGTTTCGCGATTCCAGTCCCTCCAAACGACACCCGCTCAAACGCCAATCCCAATGTGACAGCGACATTCACCTCTACCACAACTCACAACCTCCCGATTCCCTGCACCGGCCACGAATCTTTCCGCGTCCACACGTCTAACGCGCACAAAGTACTGCGCCTGTCACGAAATGTCACCTCCGTCACACGTCGCAACCTCACGATTCCCTGCGCCTGCCACGAAAATCCCACTTCCACACCTCAAAACCCGCACAAAGTCCTGCGCCTGCCACGAAAAGTAACAATGTCATCTCATGTGAGCTTCAACAATATTTGCACCACACCACACGTTTGGAATGACTTCGACCCGTTCTGAGCACACTCCCAAAGTCCAAAATCGGCATTTCAGCTGAGACTTGTCACGAAAACAGAGCTTCGATGCCACACCCTGAAACGCAAATCCCAATGGCACGGCCACATCCAACACCCCAAAAACACGACTCTCCAAACGCTAATCCCAATGGAACTGCGTAGCAAACTGCGGATCTCACAAAACGCTGCGCCTGTGCAGCGAAATGCATCACGCTTCTTGCGCGACATGTCCTTTTCGCGCAAATCACAATGGACTCGCGGCGCAAACTAACACGTGACACATCCATGCATAGTCACTTGCAAAAGCTTCCCCCAATGGCAGCGCCTTAGCGCTCTACCGCGAACGGTTGCGGACGGTTGCGAACGGTTGCGAACGGTTGCGAACGGTTGCGAACGGTTGCGGACGGTTGCGAACATAGAAACAACGGGTCGCGAACAAGGCTCTACCCCCAGACCCCCAAAGAGTTATATAAACGAGAACCCTTCGCTACGCATTCGGGAATAATGGCTTTCTGTACCTGCCTTTACGCGTGGGCAAGGGGATTTGAGTGGCGGAGACATTTCGCAAGTCGCACTGGGTTGACAGCATCCGCTGAACTGCAATCACAGTTGAACGTGCAAACGGACAAGGGCCAGTCAATACAATACAGGATTGGGGATCTGATCATGTCTTCGAGAGCAGCACGGCATCGGCCCTTGAACTGGTCCAATGTTGAATGAAAAGACAACCCGCCTGGCAAGTGAGGAATTTGGTCCTGTGTTACAACTACAATGTTCTACAGCTCTACATGAAAGGGGGCACCGGCTTCGCAAGGTTACAGCGACTATCAACAGTAAATTCGGGCGGGTGAACAGTGGCGGCGTCCCGTTGGAGTCCGGATCGGTCCTTAGAGCTGGACAGCAGCTAGTGGCCTCCACTCTACTAGCGATGGCCTCCAACCTAAAAGAGATGGCCTCCACCCTAGTAGCGATGGCCTCCAACCTAGTAGCTTCTTGCTACTATATAGTTGACCTTTAGTCCGTACATATTTGTGCTGCGAAGTGAGGCCGCTGGCTGTGGAGCTGTGACGGTTGCCATGTGACTAAGCCAAGACCTGGGCAAACGAACAGCTAACTGTCATTCTTATTGAAACACCAAAAAAAACGTGCAAATTCAATTGAAACTTCAACCAGCTGTTCTCGATAACATAAATACCAATCTGAGCAGGTCACGGGAAGAATACAAGGTCGCCAGATCTCCCAAAACACCAAATGACATCATCACATCGTCACAAACTTATGCCACTTATGTCACAATGCCAGGCCTGGGTGAATGAAAGAAGGACCGGCCAAATGGTGGGCTGTGTCCTTTCCAGAGCCAAGAATAAGAACACAGAACGCGAATGTTTTGTCTCCAACAGATTGCTACAAATCGAAGGATTGGACCCTTGATTTACAAGAAGTCTGTATTCTCTTCCTTCGGCTCTATAATACTATATACTCTCTGAACTTGGAGCCTCGAAGCCAGAAACATGCCTCGTGGATCCCCAAAGCGTAGCTTCCCGGCCGCCTCTTCCGCCTCAACAATTGCAAAGCACAGCTTCCTTCATAGCATCTTCTTGAGCAATCTCCCCGCACATTGTCGGTTCTTGTTCACCTGATCAGAGCCCTCTGAGTCCATTTCTGAATCTCATGACTCATGTTCGACAATTCTCTACAAGAAACGAACTCCTTCCCCACGGCATGCTGCGAACCATTTTGACACGATCTGCGGCCAAGCTCATCAAAGTGTGCAATAATGGCTGCCTTGTCTGCCTTGGGGCGCGACTTGTTGGAGAGAGAAAAGGACAAAACCATCAGCGGCAACAGTAGCCGTCGCCGCAGCAGCAGCAAAAACAAAAGCAACAACTGCCAGGTCTACCAAGTGCCACCTCTTTGACTTACTCGCAAGCATCGATAAAGTGGGCTCCTGAGCCCGTGGCTGCTAAAGGATCGCTGCAAGTGGCAGCCCTTATGAAGTGGGCTGCAGATGGGCGTGGCCATGAAGCAAATGAGCTGTCCGACAAGGAAGGAGAGAACAAACCTGAGTCATTCATGTTCATTCATCGTTGCATCTCCAGACATCAAGGTTCGTTAGCACTTTCCCAAAAGCGTGCCTTCTGCATGATCATCTGCTCCGAACACGTCATGAAAGTTCTCCATGACATATCTCACATGTGCACAAAGCACACCCCGCCATGCTTCTTGAAAAGTCTCCTGTCTGTCAATCACAAACAGTTCTGGCTGCACACTTCACGGGGAACAGTGGTCGGTCCTCAAATTGATCCAGCAACCCGCAACCAGCCAAAGAAGGTTTCCATTCCGACATGCTTGCACGAGGATAAACATCGGACTTAACAGCCGAAAGCTCATCATCAGCTTTGGCGTCATCTGGAAACCCAGCATCCAGCCAAGTTCTCCGTGCCATCGCAACCATGAGCTGGGACTTCAGAGTCATCAGCATATGATTTGCGACTGCATTCATGTCTGACGATACGTAGTTCCAAGACAGCTCCCATCTTCTGCCAAGAGCTTGTCGTTGCTGAATGTGAAAAGGTGCAACACTGGCTTGGAGAAACACAAAGAAGCCAACTTGTTGCCAAAACCGTCCCGCTTCCACAAACTTCTCCATGTGTGCTAGATCATGCAACAGCATCTCCAAGCAATCCCGGTGACCAAACACCTGGGTCAACAGCTTGGGTGATGCCAAAGCGCTTACACATCTTGCCCCTTCAGCCTGCATGGCAAGGAGTTCAGTTGGATCAGGGATTCGAAACATGAGCCGCAAAGGTCGCAATCCTGCATAGAAGGCATCCAAGCACGCAGATGCATAGTCTGGAACCTTGCAACACCGGGCTTTCAGCCAGAAATCGTGGATAGTTGAATCTCTGTTCAACTCAAGCCGAGAAAGGGCGCGATCACTAATCACATCATGTCCAAGAACACGCTGAACCTCGAGGTGGCTAAGCCTGGCTGAGTAGTAAGGCTCTTCTTCGGGCACATCAACATGTCCTTTGCCAACCTTGTTCTTTTCCTTTTCGCGAGTGCCCGCCACAGCACGGTCCGGGCCATGCCGAAGCGCAAGTGTTATAAGAATGTAGGCCACACAGACATCAGGAGAAGACAAAACTTCTTTGGTGTACAGCTCTTTGACCCCCTCCAACTTTGATGCTAGTCGGGGCGCTTCCGACAAAGCCCTCTCTTTCAAATCCATCGTGGTCACCGCGGTCATGGAATGTTGCCCAGGACTCATCGAAAACTCACATGAGTCACATGAGAGGTTTTGAAACTAGAAGTCTCCCTCACAAGGGGGCGGTTTTTTCTCATGATGTTGAGCACCTGTTTTGTTACTCCTTGTCACTACGCCGGTTTTGGCAACGGTCAAATTGGTTCCACCTGTCGAGCCGATGCATTTGAGCTGTTGACGTGCCACAGTTAGCAAGGACAGTTTGTTCATTTTTTCGCTGTCTTTTTCTGGTCTTCCTCACCTGAGCATAGAAGACTCCGACATGGTATTCGCCCACATGTGTGTGTGGCCTGCGCGGATCTGCTCTGCTCCCCTATGGCCAGTAGGACTAGGCTGCCCATCTTGGTAAATTAGAGTATTGATAATCAAAATACCAGCCAAAGTCAGCCAAGTTACCCGTGAAACTCTCCTGGCCCATGAACAGCCTGGGATGCTGCAAACGGCAAACAGTTTGACTCGTATTCCATGAAGCTTGCTCATTTCGACTTGGGGTTCTTTTGCGCTAGCCTTTCCACTAGAAGAGTTCAACACCCTTGCGCATCTGAGGCTGGCACAGCCCAGTTGAAAATGCTGTAGTTCAATTTCATAGCTGCTTCTGGTGCCTTGCCACCGTGATGACACTTGCAACTTTGGGCGTTGCCAGGCACTTGGAGAAAAACAAGATGGAGCCCACGAACCCGAATGCAAACACATATGTCAATCCACTGTGTATAGAAAGGGACACAGCCAGTTAGATTATATATCTTTTTCACACTCCGGTACGCTGTTGGACATCATGCGCTGGGGAATCCACCACCAAGGCAGCATGTGCTGGGGACTTCACCACCAAGCTCCGTCTTCGTCATGAAGGTTCTCCGTTTTGCATTCAAACCAAGCACTGGCGTAAAGGTTCTGGCAGATCCACATCACGAAAGAAACAATGGCATTGTCCCAAAATCTCGAAAAGAAGCACTTGAAAATGATAACCGTCCACATAATACAGAGAAATCCACAACTGCGGCTGTGGGACACTCTTAAGGGACACTCTTCTGAGACACTCTTGTGGGACACTGTTGCGGGACACTCTTGTGGGACACTCTTACGTGACACTCTTGTAGGACACTCTTGTGGGACACACTTGTGAGACACTCTTGTGGGACACTCTATAAGGACCCTCTTGTGGGACACTCTTGTGGGACACTCTTGTAGGACACTCTTGTGGGACACTCTTGTGGGACACTCTTGCGGGACACTCTTGTAGGAAACTGTGGGGCACTCTTGTAGGACACTCTTGTGGGACACTCTTATAGGACACTCTTGTGGGACACTCTTAAGGGACACTCTTGTGAGACACTCTTGTGGGACACTGTTGCGGGACACTCTTGTGGGACACTCTTGTGGGACACTCTTGTGGGACACTCATACGGGACACTCTTGTAGGAAACTCTTGTGGGACACTCTTGTAGGACACTCTTGTGGGATACTATTGTGGGACACTCTTGTGGGACACTCTTAAGGGACACTCTTGTGAGACACTCTTGTGGGACACTGTGGCGGGACACTCTTGTGGGACACTCTTGTGGGACACTCTTGTAGGACACTCTTGTGGGACACTCTTGCGGGACACTCTTGTAGGA